CACTGGTTCACTCCCCAGATGGCTGAAACAGTGAAGGCTGGGCCAGGCTGAAGCCAGGAGCTAGGAGCTTCTTCCAGGTCTCCCACGTAGGTACAGGGGCCCAAACACTTGGGCCATCTGCTGCCGCTTTTTCCAGACCATTAGCAGGGAGCCGGATCAGAAGGGGAGCAGCCAGGACACAAACCGGTGCCCATATGGGATGCTGGCTTTGCAGGCAACTGCTTGACCTGCTATGTCACAATGCTGGCACCTAGTGCAGTATTTTCTAACAAAAAACCCTAAGCATGCAAAATTGGTTAAGTAAGTTATGATATAGCCATACAGTGAAATACTATAAAGCCTTTAAAAATGGTAGCATGTATAAGCACATATGTTGACATGGAAATATGTCTACATTACAGTAATTTGGGGAAAATCAAGTTACAGTATAATGTATATACTGTTCTTTTAAAATAAGTCTAAAAGGGTATTAATAAAATATTATACATGCATCTTTGGGTAGTAGCAGTATAGAGATTTTTTTCTTTTTTGCTTCCATATGTTTTTTAGTTTTTCTATTTGAATAATAAAAAAGTATATGGAAATAATGTCACCAGACATCAGATTAGAATACGGCCTGATAGCAAAAGCATTTATATGCAGTTTCCTGGCATTTTCATTTATCAAGAATTATATTTTCCTGCATGAAAACATGAATACTTTGTAGCACATTGCAAATGTTGTTCCATAAAATTTGAAATCAAAGGTGTGATCACATTAGATAATATTCCTGAAAATTAAAATTCATAGTGTTTCTCTTTTCTCTGCAGGTATCCAACCTTGCCTTTGATCATACACTTCCTCAGACCCAATGTGAAGTTTTCTACACTTGAGCACTAGCTTTTGTGAGCTCTTCTGACTGTGTTGCCTTGGTTCATTTTTTACAATTAGGATTAGAACCTATTCTATGATCATTCCATTTAAAAGTCCCATTAAAAACAATTTGAGGAATGGGAAACTAAAACTCAGTGGAAAATAGCTGAGTTCCAGATACATTTTTATGAGTCATTGTTCCTCTATTTTTGCTGTGAAAGAATTGCATAATTCTCACCTTAAATTTAATTCTTTTGTTCAATATTTTCATCATTGGGGGAAGTTTTAAGTCCCTCAAATATTAGTTCTTTGGTAACTGTAACATATCTGACCAAATGTCGATGGACAGTATCTATGATTTTCTGACTATAGCAGTGTGGGTTAAAGTTTCCTGCCATCTTGGTCTTTCTGAACTCCCTTTTTAATTTCTAAGGAATCTTTTGAATGTTAAATTTTATGCAATCTTTTATAACAGTAGACTGCTATAAATGTAATCAGTATTTTTACTTGTATGCTTACAAAAACTAAAGGTTATTTGTCTTCTTTCTGTTCATTATTGCCTTTTTAATATGATTTTCTGTCACTATTGTATCAACTCTTTAGATTTCTTAGATCCTCCAATGATTCATGTCCATTACAATTTTTAATAAACCGTGGAGAACATATATACCTAACTGATTGTTCTAGGGGAAAAGTGTGAATAAAAAGCTATTTTTAAATGTAGGCAGCTTTAATACTTTCAGATACAGTAGTCATAGAGATATATCCCTCCATTAGGCCGAGGTGTTGGCAAGAAGTCCTCAGTACTTGCCTTGTGAAAAAGCTTTTTTTTTTTTTAATAATAGCCATTGCTATATTATTATTTGTATATGCCAGCTACTAAAATTCTTTGAAAAGAGCTTGTTCTCTTGTTCCTTTTTTTAAAATAGCAAAACCATTTGCTACTGGTAGAGCAAGGGTACACTTCAGCTCATACAATCCTAATGATGAATCCTGACTTAAGTGGAGGATGTGTTAATCATGGCAATGGCAGTTTATTATACTACATTTTCTAAGTCACTGCATTGAACAAAAATACATTTTTAGATTACTTAACCACAGAAACATTATACCTTTCTGCTCACTTCAGAACCTCACAGTAACCATTAACATTTATATAATGTTTTATGATTTTGAAAATGCTTTCACATACATCATGGATAAAAGGTTTCCAAAGATGTCCTAAAACTTCAGATAGTGGATATGTTAAAAACAAAAGGTAAGTAGCTGTGCATTACCTTTTAAAAACCAGACTTCTTAGCTATCATAGCTAGTTTTAAAGGCCACGTGATATTGATTTACAAGCCTTGTAACTGTAATGGCCAAAATAACAATGGAGTAGTTTTTTTTTTTTTTATCCCATTAACAAGCATGCATTGAATACCTGGTATTTATAAATACTGCAGAACTTAAGGGATGCAAAATGATTAAAGATAGTGTTGCTTTCAAGTGGCTCACACTATAATAATTTTTAAACAACTAATCACAGCATGAAGTGGGAAGAAAACTATTCAACAGAGGTGTATTTGTGGAAATAAAGAGGAGAGAACAAAGAATTTGGACAGGAAAGATAATGAAAGCTTTACAAAGAGGTGGCATTTGATCTGAGTCCTATCAAAAAGAATTAAAAAAAAAAAAAAATTACCGGGGCCGGCACTGTGGCTCACTTGGTTAGTCCTCCGCCTGTGGTGCCAGCATCCCATGTGAGTGCTGGGTTCTGGATCCAGTTGCTCCTCTTCCAGTCCAGCTTTCTGCTGTGCCCCGGAAAGGCAGTGCAGGGTGGCCCAGGTTCTTGGGCCCCTACACCCACATGGGAGACTGGGAGGAGGCACCTGGCTCCTGGCTTCCAATTGGCACAGTCCGGCCATAGCAGCCATTTGGAGAGTGAACCAACGGAGGGAGGACCTTCTCTCTGTCTGTGACTCTAACTGTCAAATTAAAAAACAAAACAAAACAAAACAAAAAAACTACCAGAATTGTCTTTCAAACAGATCCACTTAGCAGTCTAGCTTTTCATTCTCTTGACACAGTCAGTTATCAAAGTGTTTTAGAAATTGCCTCTAGATCCTGTTTTGAACCACAGGATAATGAAGCCCATCTTGTTATGGTCACACTGGGTTTTTTAGCAGACTGCAACTAACCAAGCGGATAACTTTGCTCCTTTCAGAGGAGTCAGGGCTTGGACTTGCCTGGACCCTGTCCTCACCTGCATTACCTGGTGATCTGTGGACAAAGGGACAGAAGCTTCTGGGAATGTGCAGGCCTTACTCTGTGGGAGTTTTTTCTGTTATTGCTGTTGCTGTTATTGTTTGCCAGTGAGCCTAGACAACCTGGAGAAGTGTAGAAACAATTGCTCATGTGGAGAAGGTAGGCCTGTCTACGGTAGAAATACTTTGTTCTGGGTAAGTATCTTCAGTGGCATGTAAGTGGAGATTTCAGCCACTAAACTCTGCTCTGTGGAAAAGACAAAAGGAACAGAGTGTGCTTTTATTTCGTATACAGTGAAAACAACGCAGTCTACTCAGAGAGCACTTGTTGAAATCTGGGAAACCAGGGATAAGACAGGCCAGTTATCCTTGGGTTAGAGGCTGTGCCACCAGGGATGGCAAAGCATCTTTTCTTCTGTTCATGGCTACCGTCCATACAAAATAAACCAAAAGTCAGAGGTATGTCTAAAATATTCTGGAAGTGTACTTCAGTGTGAACCAACGGTAAAGGAAGACCTTTCTCTCTGTCTCTCTCTCTCACTGTCCACTCTGCCTGTCAAAAAATAAAATAAAATAAAACAAAAATAGAGAAGAAACAGGAAAAGTGAGAGAGAGGGGACAAGGCAGGCAAAGGGGTAATGAGAGCAGGAAGATTGACTTAGGCAGGCAGTGGAAGAAGACAGGAGAGAGAGGAAATTATAGGAAGTGGAAGAAACTCAGGCCTACATTTAGGATGCTACATTCTTTGTTACTGCCTTAGTAGTGCTACATTACACATTACACATTCATTTTATAATAAATAAAAACAAAATTTAAAATTTATTTTCATTTTACTTTAAAGTTAAACACAGAGAAAGAGAGAGAGAGAGAAACTCTTCCATCCCCTGATTGGCTCACCAAATGCCTGCAACAACCCAGCCTAAGCCAGGCCAAAGCCAGGATCTAGGAACTCAATTGAGGTCTTCTACATGGATGGCAGAGACCCAAGGACTTCGGCCATCATGGTGTGCATTAGCAAGACACTGGAAGGGAGAGTGGAGATGAGACTCAAACCCAAGCCCTCCAATGGGATATGAGAGTACCAAGCAGTGTCCTAACTGCTATGCCATGTGATCATTCCTGAAGTTCCTTAGACTATTCTGAATGAGATTCCAACAGAAACCCATTATGGGGGAAATTTACGTCCCACAAATGTGTATGTTAACCTTGGTTTTTTAATCCCATATCTTGAGGAAGGTAGGTCCTTGTGTTAAATTAGATCATTTCCATTTAATGGGAATATTATAAAATGTTAACAAATGCATATTATGAATCACCAGTATGACCACTTTATAACAGAATACTGCCTAGCAATTTCATGGCAGTCATTGTTTTTGTTTTCACTATTGGGTAGGTGTAAAATAGGACTCAGTTATTCTGATCCTCATAGCTGGTGATAAAAGATAATTAGAGGTTAATTTAATAAATTATGTATTTGTACAAAATAAAGGTTAAGTGATGTCATGGTGTGCTTGCAAAAAGGAAAATTTTGCTATTTGAGCAAAGAAAGATAGTAGAAGAATGAAATGATTCTGAAATCAAGACACACTTGGGTAGAGGAATCCAAGGAATCCAAGAGAGCCCAGCTTAGACATGGATACCCTAATTTTATGGTAAATGAAATTTGGTTTCAACAAAAGGCAAAAGTTATCACATTATTATCATTAATTTTATGTTCTTTTATTTAATTGTATTGCATTTGATTTAAAAATTTATTTTAGGCTAAAATTGTGAGAGACTATAATAAGCAAATAATGTAACTTGTTTCAAGCTTTCACATTAAATGATAGTATAGTAAAATGAGAACAAATCTGTGAGTATGGATGATTATATATATATATATATTTTTTTTTAGAAGCCCAAACACATTTCTTGCTGTATTTATGTTGGAGTCTCCATCTACAATGGGCAGTCATGAAGATGGTCTTCTCAGGACCACATAGCCACAGGACGGGGGCAATCCAGGGGGCCTGAGAGGGAGTGTGAGGACGGGGGAGGGGCGGCTGGCGGCTTTACGTCAGAATCAAACTGCACGGCTGTAGCACGCGGCCCTTCATCATCTGGCGTAGCGCTTGATGTAGTCGTCCACTTTATTCCAGAAGTCCTTCTTGTCCCGCAAATGATGCTCTGCTGCTTCGATATTCAGTGGATCGTCAAAGTTCAGAAGATCAGTAAATAAAGAGTTTAATCCCCAAACAACATCCTTTAATGTCCTCGTGGGAGCCCAGCCCGTGCTGTCAATCGAATGTTCTCTCAGTAAACTTAGACAGATCTCCCCTGTCTCTGTGATGTTAGGGTGCCACATCCTAGTCAAGCATCTCACTCGGGGAGGCACCATGTTGTATGCATCAGGAACTTCAGTTTCAAACTGAAATTTTCCACCCTGGTAGTAACCCTCATCTGGGGTGACAGTGAGCTGGAAGCAGTGCAGCTTGTTTGGGTCAGGGAAATGCACTTTACAAGTACAAGGTAAATTAGCTTCAAGTTCTGCAACCTCTTTCACGAGCAGCTTGTCTCTCACGGAGACCCTCTGCGTGGAGTCCGCTGCCGAGGCTGCCGTCCGGGACCCTCTGAGCCCATCGTCCCGCTTCAGCTTGCTGGCCAGCGTCAGCATCGCTGCCACCTTTCCCCTGGGCACCCGGAGACAGGCGAGGCGGGCCCGGCGCCCAACACCATGCCCGGCCCGGGCGGCGGCGGCGAGACGCAGCCCCTCACTGGATGATTATATTTTAATAGGGGTCTGTACAACCAATTTTCCCGATGAGCATAGATGCAAAAATCCTCAACAAAATACCAGGTATAAAAGCAGATGGATAGGGGCCGGCACTGTGGCTCACTTGGTTAATCCTCCGCCTGCAGCATCGGCATCCCATATGGTGGCCGGGTTCTAAAACTGGTTGCTCCTCTTCCAGTCCAGCTCTCTTCTGTGGCCTGGAAGGGCAGTGGAGGATGGCCCAAGTGCTTGGGCACCTGCACCCACATGGGAGACCAGGAAGAACCACCTGGTTCCTGGCTTCAGATTGGCGCAGTGCTGGCCGTAGCTGCCATTTGGGGAGTGAACCAATGGAAGGAAGACCTTTCTCTCTGTCTCTCTCTCTCACTGTCTATAATTCTACCTGTCAAATAACAAAAAAAGGAGAGCCTTCTCTCTTTAAAAAAAAAAAAAAAAAAAAACAGATGGATAGTCCGGTGGAACAGAATAGAAACACCAGAAATCAATCTATGCATCTACAACCAACTTAGCTTTGACAAAGGAGCTAAAATCAATCTCTGGGGAAAAGACAATCTCCTTAACAAATACTGATGGGAAAACTGGATTTCCACATGCAGAAGTATGAAGCTAGACCTCTACCTTACACCTTACACAAAAATCCACTCAGAATGGATTAAAGACCCAATTTATGACCTGATACCATCAATTATTAGAGAACATTGGAGAAACCCTGCAAGACATTGGCATAGGCAAAAAGTTCTTGGACATGACTCCAGAGGCACAGGCAATCAAAGCTAAAATTGACAAATTGGATTACATCAAATCAAGAACCTTCTGTACTGCTGAAGAAACACTAATCAAAGTGAAGAGGCAGCCAACAGAATGGGAAAAATTATTTGCAAACTATGCAACTGATAAGGGATTAATAAACAAAATATATAAAGGGATCAAGAAACTCAACAATAAAACAAACAACGCAGTTAAGAAATGGGCAAAGGACTTAAACAGGCATTTTTAAAAAGAAACCCAAAAGGCCAACAGATGTATGAAAAAATGCTCGGGAGCACTAGCCACCAGGAAATGCAAATCATAACCACAAAGAGGTTTCACCTCACCCCAGTTAGAAAGACTTTCTTTCTTTCTTTCTTTCTTTCTTTCTTTCTTTCTTTCTTTCTTTCTTTCTTTCTTTCTTTCTTTCTTTCTTTCTTTCTTTCTCTTCTTTTTTGACAGGCAGAGTTATACAGTGAGAGAGGGAGACAGAGAGAAAGGTCTTCCTTCCATTGGTACACCCCTCAAATGGCTGCTGCGGCCGGTGCACTGCGCCAATCCTAAGCCAGGAGCCAGGTACTTCCTCCTGGTCTCCCATGCGGGTGCAGGGTCCAAGCACTTAGGCCATCTTCCACTGCCTTCCTGGGCCACAGCAGAGAGCTGGCCTGGAAGAGGAGCAACTGGGACAGAATCTGGCACTCCAACTGGGACTAGCACCTGGGATGCCGGCGCCACAGGTGGAGGATTAGCCTAGTGAGCCACGGCGCCAGCCGAAAGGCTTTCATACAGCAATCAACAAACAACAAACACTTGTGAGGATGTTGGGTAAAAGGTATCCTAATCCACTGTTGGTGGGAATGTAGACTGGTAAAGCCACTATGGAGGACAGTATGGATATACCTCAGAAATCTGAATATAGATCTACCATATGTCCCAGCCATCCTACTTCTGGGAATTTATCCAAGGGAAATGAAATAAGCATATTAAAGAGTTATCTGTACCCCCATGTTTACTGCACCTCAATTCACAATAGCTAAGATATGGAATCAACCCAAATGCCTGTCAACTGAAGACTGGATAAAGAAATTATGGGTGGGGGGGGTGGCACTGTGGTATAGCGGCTAAAGCCACGGCCTGCAGTGCCATCATCCCATATGGGTGCCAGTTCAGGTCCTGGCTGCTCCACTTCCAATCTGGCTCTCTGCTATGGCTTGGGAAAGCAGTAGAAGACGGCTCAAGTCCTTGGGCCCCTGCATACACATTGGAGACCTGGAAGAAACTCCTGGCTCCTGGCTTTGGATTGGCACAGCTCCAGCCATTGCAGCCATCTGGGGAGTGAACCAGATAAAGGAAGACCTCTCTCTCTCTCTGCCTCTGCCTCTCTGTAACTCTGACTCTCAAATAAATAAATAAATCTTTAAAAAAAGAGATAGGTTTCATATAAAAAATGATGGGATATTTACACTATGAAATACTACACAGAGGTTAAAAAAATGAAATTCAGTTGTTTGCAACAAAATGGATGAAACTGGAAAACATCATACTTAGTGAAATAAGCCAGTCCTCAAAGGATAATATCATGTGTTCTCCCTGACTTGTGATAATTAATAGAGCACCTGAAAGGCAATCTATAGAAGTGAAATTGACACTTTGAGAATCAGTGACTTTGAACAGCGCTTGTTTTGTCTACTGAGGAACAGCTTTTTTCCCCTCATACTATTTTTTTTAACTCTTAACATAGAGTTAATCATGTGTATAAAGTTACTTGAAAATAATCTTAATTAAAAATAAGAATGAGAATAGGAGAGGAAGGAGGAAGAGGGGTGAGAGGGTGGTTATGGTGAGAAGAATCGCTATGTCCCTAAAGTTGTAATTATGAAATGTATTAAGTTTGTATCCCTTATATAAAAGGTTTCTGGGAAAAAATAAAATAAAAGGGATCTGTTCATTACTGAAGTTTGAGAAATATTGCAATGGAAGATCATGTTACCCTGGCAGCTAACCAAAATAAAACTATGGCCCAATCTAGAAAGTTCCGTGAAAATTGAATCATGTTTAATTTTTGATTTTTATTATTATACATAGTATGTTGTATTAATTTCTAATTACTGTTTTGTGGGCAGTGAGTACTAATATATTTGCTTTAATTTTTTTCTCCTAATAATCCTGAAAAATTGTTAATGATAAAAATATATTGATCATTTAAAATGTCCCTTCATTATTTCAATAATACTTATTGTATTGGAAGTATTTTCAGGACAGTTAGTTATATGTATTTATATATAAATGTCAAGTTACTGATATGAGAATATATATTAGATAATATATGTAAATGAATTATTATAGACTGACTAATGGAGAGATAGAGGAGACATTGTTTTTAACTTTGAAAAGTTTAAAATCTGGCAGTGAAGAGAAATGTGAAAACACATAATTACAAGGCCATTGGAAATAATTGCAATATAGGTATGTCTAAAGCAAATAAGATAAACTTATCTTTCCTGGTAGAGGACAAAAAGGAATTCATTTATATTAGGATGTATTTTTACTGTTTCATAAATTAGAATTTTTACATTCCAGAGTAAGAGAGCAATATTTGTATAGGGTTTTAAAATTTTATCTTATTAAGCAAACTACCCTGCAATAGTGTTGAATGTGATGCCACAATTTGCTAAACAGAATGACAGTTGCACAATGTACCAAGGAGTGTTGAAACTACCCTATTACATAAGCCATTTTTAAATTTAATTGTATAATACTCCATGTAAATAAGATACAATGAATAGATCATGCCCTAGACATACACATAATTCATGCCTTTGGAAAAACTCATACCTTCTATGTGCAACATATTGCATCAGTGCCAAAAAGAAAACAAAAGTTAATAAGGCGTCCTTTCTGCTTCAAGGAGATTATCATCTTGCAGGGTAGTCAAATACACTCAAGTAACTAAAGTCCAGAGCAGTTTGTGCCAAATGCCCTAGTATCCTGAGAGCTATATAACTGAAATATGGAAGTGTTCAGAGAAAATTCTTAGTCTGGATATAATAATGACTTCTTTGGAGAACATGAGTTTGAACTGGGTTGTCAGAGATAGGTAGGATTTTATAGATGGCTATCATAGAGAAGGAGTGAGTGTCTTCCCTAAAATAATATTTGAATCATATGAGCACAAGCATTGGGGTGGAAAGAAATAGGTCAAATTTGAGCAAAGCTTGGTTTGAATGTGAAACAGAGTAGTGGGAAGTAATTTCTGAAAGGTTAAATAGCAACAAGTTATAGGTGGTTTGAACCTTGGGAAAAACAGACAAGTCTGCAAACATTTACTGAGGGCTTATAACTGGCTAGGAGTTGTGAGTTCAGAGATAAATAAAGTGAATCCTGTGCTCTTAGGTACTCAGACACATGATCCTCTGCCTTGGAGATGGGTGCAGTGCAATGATCACAAAATCTGAGGATCTATACTGTAATGAAGATACAAAGAGTGTAGGAACAATGCCCTCACACTGGAGGAGTTAAGGGAAAACACGGAGAGAAGATACTACTGTTAATGAGTCTTAATGAGTAAAGAAGAAAACAAGAACATAATAATTCCTTTGCTTGCAAAATCCCAGAGACATGGAAGAGTTGGCTTGGTCAAAGGAGCAAGTGTGGTCCAATGTGACTCAAGAAGTATTGGAAGTTAAGGCTGGAAGGAAAAATTGGGTTCCAAATGAGAAGGGCCTCATGGACTGTGCTAAGGTGTTTGGACTTAATTCTTGTTAGTCTGTGATTTTCAACCTTTTGGGTTTGTGGAGCATCTTTAAATGAAAGTCTTGCACCTTATAGTGATGTTTCAGTCAATGATGGAATGCATATGTGTGCTGTAGCCCTATGAGAGTTTATCACCTAGTGACATCATAGTCATGTTAGTTTGTGTCCGTACGCTCTTATGATGTTGGCGCAATGATAAAATTGACTAGCAATGCATTTCTCAGAAAGTATCCTTATTATTAAGCATTAATTCTAGTACATGACTGTACTAGAATTTTTGGCAGGACAGTGGAAAGGATTAAAAGTCTGGAAATACGACACAAGCCAGCAGCAATTATAGCACAATCAATAGTACCGTGCAGTTATGGTCTCACAGTGTCTATAAAAGAACTCATAGTTAGCACACTATTCACTTGGTTGACTTTCAATATCACGTTTCTGTTGGAGTAGTACACTACTGAATACTCTGAGGCAATGTTC